AGAGGCTCATAGTGGCTAATGTTAAAAACTGATCATTGATATTTGGTAGTAGATACAGGTGCTTTGGTATGTCTCTGTATAACAATCCACTCAGCAGTGCAGTGGCATAGACCGTTCATACTGTAGCAACGTAGACGAACCTCAGTGTAGTTACTTGATGAAAAGAACCCAGACTATCCCTGAGGAAATGGCTCTTTATGTAAAATTTATAAAATGCAGATGCATTTCTCTCGCCTGAAAGCAGGCTGAAGTTGCTGAGAGACAGCAATGGAGGGAGAAAAGGAGAGAGGAGAAATTTATAATGAATTTTAGAGTTTAGCCAGAGCTCCCAGGGTCTAAATCACCAGCCTGGGAGCACATAGAGAGGGACCCATGACTCCAGCTGTATATGTAGGGGAGGATGGCCTTGTCAGGCATAGGTGGGAGAGGAGGTCCTTGGTCCAGTGAAGGCTGGATGTCCCAGTGTGGGAGAATTAGAGGGCAGGTGGTGGGAGTTGGTGAGTGGGTGGGGACACATCCTCATAGAAGCAGGAGGAGGGGGCGTGGGATAGGGGGTTTCTGGGTGGGGGGGGGAATGGGGAAAGGGGATAACATTTGAAGTGTCAATAAAATATCCAATAAAAAATAATTTTTAAAAAGCCCTACTACTGAGTAGGGAGTCTGATCATTGTAGTTTGAAGTCTCTTAACCCTCCTTTAAATTAGTGGTTCAGAGAGAAGCACTTCACTCATACAGCTGCTTTTTCTCAAGGCATCATTGCTCTGCTAGACCAGTACTTTATGTATACTTCCCACATAAAGACATATGACACCAAATGTTTCCTACATTTGATCAGAGAGTAAATGCTTTAGGCTTTGGGGGCCACTGAATTGAGCTGAGCATTACAAGCATTCACCTCTGTCACTGTAGAGTGAAAGTAGACTTGGGTGACACATAGCTAAGCATAGCTGTTTCAACAGAGTCACAAAACAAGGGGGAGTTCAAGTTTTCCCAGGAAACAGTAGTTCGCCAGCCCAACACAGAAAATGGAAAGATGAGTGTAATAGCCAGGTGGTGTGGTGCACACCTGTAGTTCTGAGTCCAAAGGTTAGAGGCCAGCCTGTGCATCAGAGCAACACACACATACACACACACACACACACACACACACACACACACACACTATCATTATTCTCCTGTCACTGTGACACAGGAAATGTGGAGACAAGCTAAGATAGGATAGATTTGATTTTGCTTATGGTTTCAGTCGCTTGGTTATGTGTACTTTGATTATAAATGTGATCTCTTTCTGTGTTTTTCTACTTTGCCTCAGCTTTTTAGTTCCTGTTTATTTTGTTTTTCAGAAATAAAAAAGTTTTCTCCTTTCCATTTTGCCCCTAGTGAAACTGACTTTAACAGTTTCATTGCCAAGTGTGCTTGGCAAGTGAAGTGAGATGGGCCACTGGGTGGCCTAGCTAAATGCTACTTTGTGTAGTATTTGACTCTGATGATGCCTAACTGCTCCTGGAACTTTCTGACGATATTAAATAATAATCTTAGAGTTCTTAAGTTTGATTCTTATTTACTCACATAGTTTTTCTTTTTCCTTTTTCATGCCCTGTGAGTTACAGCTTCTGTTTGTGGTCTCAGCTCTTATTGCCAGTGACTCCCAATTTGTACCTAGGCCAAATGTTCCTTCTAAGCTTAAGATAGAGTCTATTCAAGTCCCCCATCATGCATTTCAACATAGATGACCAACAGTACTTTCAAAGTTATCATCAATATATATAATATGCATGTATATATATGTAATATATATATAATAAATATATGGTTTTATTTATATATTCAGTAAATAGTAGGTAGATATAGATATAGACATGGACATAGGTCAGATATAGGGATGAATGGATAGATATAGATAGATAGATTCAGTAAATAGTGTTTACTAGTCCCTAGAATAAGATGTGAAATTGCCTGAGAAATCTTTTCTGTCTCCCTTTAACATCCATTCCTCATCCTGCAAGCCCAGTCAGTTTTCCCCACTGCCTTTGTTCTGCTCCTTGTCTCTCCTCCAACCTTCCCTGTATCCTCATTAGTTCAGTTTCCCCACATCTCATCCTGGCTAGGCTTTGTGGCTTCCTCCTTTATCTTCACCTGTCTTTCCATGCAGGGGTGAGATCTCCTCATCCTGTGCCTGTGTGCATCGTGGACATAGTACCTGATAGTCACAGAATAGTGTGATTTGTAAAAGCCAAACTGTCTTGGTATTTGCCTGCTAGAACTCTTCCCCATGTTTCAGTAAATTTAGCTAACCACTTTGTGCTCCTAGCGGGTCATACTCCCAGCCACCTGCTGGAGCCCTCTGGATTCATGAATGGAAAACACACACACACACACACACACACACACACACACAAACACACACACAGCGGTTAATTTTAATATGCCTTGACTAGATCAAAGAAAGGCTGGGCATTTCTAATCCTCCAC